ATCTGCCTTGGGGGGCTCCCCGCAGGTCCAGAAATTTGGCAGCAAGATGAGTGGTGGCAGCATTAATTGCCACAGCCCCATGACCTGTGGCAATTAATGCTGCTGTTTGTTGCTTCTCCTGCCACAACATTTCTGGACCCATAAAAAGCCCTCTGGGCTGGACCCAGAGTGTGGACCTGTGTCATCTGACTTGCGGGGCAGGAAGTTTAGTGATGGGAGGAGCAGCAGCTGCCTCAGCTCCAAAGACCACAGTAGTTAACACTGCCACTGCCAAATTCTAACCCCACAGGCTAGATAACTCGGCTTCATGGACCCATCCCACACCACTCATTCAGCCTGATGGAAAGGAACATTGTGAGGGTAAACGCCTCTCAAGAACTGCTCTGATTCTCTGGTAAGAAGACAACACAAGTACCTACAATGGTGACTTAGATGGATTTTTACAAATGTAAAATTTGTTTCTTACCAATCTTAAATATGGTTCCTTTCAATCAGATTCCTTACTATCTACCTCTTCTTGAAATTAAATCACAGTTACAGAAATTTCTTCTTGTACAAGTCTTTCAGAACATGAAAATACCACTGCCAGTCTCTGGCCCACATTTTCTTTCTATAAAATTCATCTGGAAAGAAAATAACTAGAATTGACCTGATACCATGGTAATTGTGTAGATTTCCACAAAGAAATAGTCAATGAACAGGTAAAGTGTATACCAATTATTTCTCCAGAGGTGATTGAATGATACCCATTATGATGGAAAGTAACCCAAACTCAGAACTTGGATGTAAATGAGTAGACCACCGCACTAGGAATCAAGACTGATTGCTATGAATCCTCCTAAAAAATCTGTTCCTCTGTAAACATCTTTCAACCACAGAACCCTTAAGAGACTCCCATTTTTTGGTTACTGTGATCATCTTGGGTGGATAAAAAAATATATTACAACTAAGCTATTCACATCCTGTGGTGGCTTACAGTGGCTTATGCTTCTCTGAACTGAAAATACTCCCCCACCACATAGCCCTCCTTGAGATACTTCAGCTTGTTCACAGAATGAGGTTTCTTCTTTTTAATTCTCACTTCTGACCTTTTTTTAATGTTTAGGAAATGTGAAAAAAATGTGAAGGCTGAAATGAAAAGCTAAGAGTATCGGTTTGAGTGTTTTAACATTAACGTGGGTGGGAAAGCTTCACCAACTGAGAACAAAATGAGAAGCAGAGCTATCCTGCATACAACCTTGGGAAGACTCCATCTGAAATAGTTACATTACTTTTGAAATTAAACATGCAAGAGAAGTGTTTGAAACAGAGAAACCCATTTGAATCTTGGCAAATGACCAGAAGAAAGGTGGCAGTTCCCATATGAAGGAAAATTCACTCTGTTTCAGTACCTGATTACTGAAAGTGCTTAAGCAAAGCCAAGCACCCTTTCTGGGTCTGTGGGAATAGGGGTAGGGAATAACAAAAAATGAAGTCACGCACAGAAAAAAGTCCAGTATAGGTTCCTCTGGCAAAGCTCATTGGGTTTTGTCTCATGCTAACCTGTGGAAGGGTGAGATTTGAATGGAAAAGGATCACTTCACATCTTTGTGGAAGGCCTGACCAATTGGCACAACAACTTTGTGTTTTCTGTACCACTCACATGACTTCCATGGGGCTGGCTAACAATGCAGCTCAGTTAGATAACTACTGCTATTGGAAGTAATGGAAAGAGAGGTAGCTCAGGATGTATTTTTCCAGGGTAATCTCTGCAGTAGTGTGTGGTGCAAAGGGGAGAGATGGGTGGGGAAGGGACAAGAAAAAAGGAAGGGTTTGTGCTTTCCCCCTTCCCCCAATCCAGGTCAAAGTAATATCTACCTGTTCCTGAATTAAATAGAAAATCACTTACTCGAGATATTGCATGTAGGGGGAAATGCAGCTAATAGTAAAAGCAGAATGCAATATTAAAGGAATTCCTTGCTACTTCCTTTAATATTGTAGCCACCCGCATGCTGGGTCCTGTTGGAATGTGGAAGGCATCATACCTGCCTCCATGGAGTTTGCGGTGGGCCTAATTCTGCAGCTGTTTATGCATGGATAATTTTTGGTTCACATGTATCATACATTCAAGTCACTCATGTACATAGCTGTGTGCAAGATGAGACTGAGTAACAGGCTCCTATACACGTGCAGGGAGCCTGCTCTGACATGGTGCAATTCCAGTGCATTGGAGCAGACTCGATTAATCAAGTCTGCTGGAGAGTGGAAATGAATGTGCTCCAGCAGCCTCCAGCATCACATGTATCAGCATCCTCCCCATTTGACAAGCTTTAGTTCAAAGCACCCCACAGCCATTTTTCACCATGGGGACACTGATGCATGCAATGCTCTGGGTGCTTTTAATTAGCATGACTCTCAGAGCTGCGCTAATTAAAGTGCCCACCCATGCCTTCTGGAGCAAGTGTATAAATGCCCATAGGTTCCTAACATTTGGAGATGGTGGGCCCAATTCTATATGTGGTGAATCCAGTCAGTGGCACTCTCCTGAAGTAAAACTGAGGATGCTCAAGAACTGGCTTATTGCCTTCTTACTACCTACCTTATTGACTTGTACGTGCCTATGAAATGTCTGGCTAGTGTTCACTGTTGGACAGAAGCTACAGGACTGAGTCACAGTAATAGAGAAGCCAGAGACAGGAAAGACATATGCTTATCCAGTCCTGTGCCAAGCCCATTTCCCATGGTATAATGTGGCAATGAAGTCAGAGGGAAGCTGCCAAGTTAGTCATTGCACTTTAGAACACATTTATGAGAGAAGGGAATACTTATGCCCTTTGGCTGGTGCAAAAACTTGGACTGTGGGACATAAAGACAGGCTCATCCTAGACCAAAACCAGGTGCCCTTGAATGAAGCCCTAGAACTCACTATGCATAGGAGGGACTGGAAATGAAGTATCCTCCATTGGTAGTGGCCCCATGGCTCTAGGATTTGCTTCTGCTGAAGAAACATTGACGGACAAGCCTGGGCACATCTAGAGTATTGTGGTCTAGCTTTTGCCTCAAGCTTTTTCAAATGATTGAAGTCTGAAACCTTGGGCTTTTAGCGGCACTGAAATATTGTAAAAGCAGGGCAGCAGCTGCCCAGCCAGGGCCTTCTCAGTCATCAAGCTACAGGGTAGGATGGTGTATTTTTTTTCTTTGGATTGATTATGTCCCACTTTAAACAATATAAATGGCACCCAAAAGCTGGAGCAATGGAGGCTTAATAAGTGTGTTTTATAACCTTAATCTGCAACATGGATGCTCTTCTCAAACAAAATTGTTATTGTTCATTTAATCTGTCCAGTACAGGGCTATGCTAGCTCTTCAAGTATCAGCAGAACATGTAAAAATAAAAATGAAAAGAACTATTTCAGCTAGTGGTGAGAACTATTTCTGTTTGGGGTTCTTGTCCTAAAATTCTGTAAATAATTATAATATTAAAAAACTCCTCTAAACTTAGGTGTAAGCAACTACTTTTAGAACATATTCTCCTGAACTTCCTGAAATTATTCCTAATTGTTTTAACTGTAGTCCACTAAGAGAACTGTGGTATCTCACAGAGTTATGTCTGTAATGTTCTAAACAGCGATGTTTATGGAAATGACATGTAAAAATAACTAAGAGCTAGAGAATTAGACCCTGTATTAATTAATAGAAAAGACTGACTCAGTCATGCAGGATGCCAAGCAGTCTGGCCCTAATCCAACAAAGAACTTAAGTATATGCATTTTGCTTACAACACACAAGTAGCACTCAACAAGACAACCCATGCTTAAAGTTTAAGAAGTGCTTTGCTTGACAGAAGTCAGAGCACTCAATACCTTTCAGCATCCAGTTGACTATGAGTATTTACAAGCTAAGCACTCTTGCACTACTCAAAAAATACTTGGAAGATGGCATGCCTATTACTTTTCGACACGTTAGATAGAAGCTATATATATCAAGCACTGCCATTCATAATAACCTTGCATACATCTTTTAATTCTAATGGACCAAAAAGGTATATGTACAGATTAAAACAATGCCAACTTAAGTTAGGTTTTACTGCCTTAGATGTTACCATAAAAAAGATAGATTGTAACCTAAAGAGACACATTTCTTCAAAGCCTACCTGCTATTGTAGGCTTAATTGGTTTTAAGTGGCAAAACATGGAAGAAACATTCTAAATAAGGCTCATGCTAGGACAATTTCAAATATTTCAATTGCCACTCTCTTGAAAAAGGTTAATTGAAGATCTCCCCATACTCCTGGTGGCTATGCTACTGTGAACTCACCAACATTAAAACTGCTCTACTCTCTTCATCTGTGGAGACTTATTGCAAAATAAACTTTTTCTTTAGGTCTCCTTAGTAAAAAGAAGAATGAGCCTGAAGCTAAAACAGAAGTCTGTGAATCAGGAGATCAGGATTTTATTTCATCCTCTGCTACTGACTTGATATGTAATTTTTGAACAAATTGTTTGCCATCTGCTCAGAGGTTTCCCCAGACCATGAAAAAGAGGCATGATGCCAACTTCGTACATGTTCCTCAAGCACCTTCATTACAAAGTAATTAACTTTAAACATCATAAGTAAATATATGCTGTGCTCACTTCTAAATAATGATGTTTATCCCACACCTTATTTTGACATTCAGGTGAAGTCTATAATCCAGAAGTGTAGCTTGCCTCTATAATAGCAAGGCACAATATAATAGTAACATTTAACTTTGTTTCTTCTCACAGGCATATTCAAGCCACTGTAACAATTCCAACAGAATGACGTTTTTGTGCTAGAAAATTACAAAGACTAAAGACCCTGAAAAAACTGCTTTAGCTTTATGGTGATGCTTTTCTATGGGAGAAAAACACCTGAGGTGCTTACTGAAATGATCCAGTATTTCACCCTTGGATATAAAATAAATCTAGTAATGATCAAATGAAATTTTAAAAAGAGAACAGAACCAGGAGTCAAAGCAAACATACGCACTGTGACCATACCTTCATGCTGCAGGTTTAAGCACTTCCAAACCCTGCTTAAGAGAAAGACAAGCAGAACGCGAGAATGCATGGGTTTTTTTTCCTGTAGTTTCCAGTCTCACAATTTAAACAAATTAAAGACTCCCTTGTAAAACAGAGTGTCTGTGATTCGTTTTTCTTGATTCTGCTAGAAATATAGTAGGTAAAAACCTAAGATCTGTAATCATTGGTCTCTGCAGTTGTTAACCACAAAACAGAAAATGTCACACAAGGCTTTTCTCGTGTTGAAGGAAAGGTATGTAGTAAAAGCCTACAAAAATATCAGAGAGGAAGCAATCCTAGATTGATTGTTACAATGATATAGAAGCTGTAAAAGTAGTTTGCAGCTTTGTGACTAATCTAACTTACTCCACAGGCAAATCAGGCCTCCAAATAGTGTAATTTATTGAATTTGAATTCATAATTGATGGTGGGCACTGAGAATCAATGTTCAAAATGTGTCTTTAAAAATGCTAGGCTGTCAGTAACGCTTAATGGAACAGCTAACTGGTAAATAAAGATGTGAATGAAAGGGGTCTGAAACCAACATGGCATGGCAGCCTCAATTTGGTAGTTTTCATTTGATTCATGAATTCTTCAGAGCTGGTAAAGACTAATGGGTAAATTTGTCCATCTGTCCTGTCAAACCAAGATTGTGCTGTAAAGTATATTTCCAAGTACTCTGTTTTGTCCAAATTCAGCTTCATCAAGTCCAGTCCTTTTTTTTCTTTTTCTTTCAAGACTTTTCCACAGCATAGAAAATTTACTTAATGGAGCTGTTTAAATGATTGCAATAAAGACAACAGGATGTCCCAAAAAATAACACTGATGAACTAACTTGAATTACGATGAGGATGATTTTATATTCAGGGTTTAAATGACCAAAGTTCATTTGAGGGACCTGCTTTTTTTTTTTTTCAAGCAATTCGCTCTTATTAAAATGTAGGCAATTGGAACTGCATTAGCAGGGTTAACATTAAAAAATATTGTTTAAAATGGGGAAAACATGTCTAAGAAACTGAAAACAAAATGAGGAACAAAGTACATAACCTGAACCTAACTTTTCAAGACTATTATTATTATTATTATTATCATTATTATTATTATTTGAATGTCACATTCAGATTGAGTCAGGGTGATGGTAAACATTTTGTTGCTGAGTTTGGTCTTAAATCATGATCTGGGGAAGACTTGTCCAGTGTGTTATTGGCTCTGAGGGTATTTAATCCCTGAACCCCTACTCTGGATTAATGAGCGCTATATTAATAGCATCTTTTGACAGATTTTTGAGAATTGTCTGTCTCATGATCTGGTGAAAGTTGTATAGTTGTCATGCCAATTAGTTGGTGTTAAACTAAGGGCTGAAGGAGTGAATGAGAGTGTCTGAATATTTCAAACTCAAAGAGTTCTCATTAATAGCCATTGATCTGTCTATAAGTGGTATATGATGTTGCTTACGTACTAGCTGTATTTCAAGGAAGATACGGAGACAGTTATATAAACACATTTTGAACCGCTCCTCACAGTGAAATTCATCCAAGATCAGCAGTTGTTGGGGAGCACAAAACCTCATGGTTAAAGTAATCCTGAAGCAGACTAATTCTGACATCACTGCCTCAGTATTGCCAATCCCACTGTGCCAAAAATCTTAAGACAAACGCTTTAAAAATCAAGAGTTTGGCACATAAATCATGAGATGCTATTTTGAAGTGTGTGTGTGGCGGGGGGCACTATTTGTGAAGGTGTGGGGGGCTGTGGGTATATGTGGGGTTGGGAGCCTGAGGGGGGGGGTCCCCACACACCCTGGTAGGATGCAGGGTACTGTGGGTCAGGAGTGAGAAGGGCTGGGCGGGCTATGGCTTGGGAGTGAGGAGCAGACAGAGAGGGACACAGCTACACAGAGACACTGACAGATGCACAAACAGGACCCAGCTGGTAAGTGGAGAGAAATGGGCTGAGAAGAAAGGGAAGGGGTGGGAGGGGGGGAGATGGAGGCTCCTACAGTGAGGGAGGGAGTGGGGCAGAAGCAGGGGTTGAACTGAATGGGGCCCTGGGGCTGGGATGGGTTGTCTGGAGATGCAGGGGCAGGGACGTGGCTCCCTGCAGCAGCACACATCCCCGAGGGAGGCATGGGGGCATGTGCCCTGCATGGGGCAGGGGTGGGCTGCCCACTGTAGACTGGGGATCTGTGCCCTGCTGCCTTGCCCCAGGAGCTCAGCTGCATGCCTTGTGTCCCCTGCCCACCCAGTGGGCAGCAATGGCCTCACATGGCTGAACTCCTGGGGCCCCACTCTCTCACTCACCACAGGGGCCTCAACTGCCCCTCTCCCCCACCCCTTTTCTCACCCCCCACTGCTTTTCTTCCATTTACCAGCTGGGAAAATCCAGAGATCTGAGGATTGAATCAGATGGGGAGTCTGATTTTGAGGAAGCTGGACAAACACCATATTGAGCTCATTTGAGCCCAATAAACTCCTGCCCATAGAGGGGGCTGGACTTGATGATCTTACAGGCCCCTTCCAGTCCTTCGATTCTATGATTCTAGTCTGCTGTGCAGTAAAGCGTCACATGTAGATGCGCCCCATGTGATACTGAAGATCCACTCCAACCCCTGAAAATAGAAAATACTGACAAAAAAAGTTTTTTCCTTAAAAACACACCCATTAAGCTGACCTTTCAGAGCCTCCATGTGCTAAATCTAAATTGACCAGAACAAAAGAAGCAGCAATGCGATTTGAAGTCACTAGCTGCAGTAGAAATAAACTTGCCTTCAGTAACTAAAATACACAAAGGAACCAAGGATGACATGATACTTGAATACCACATCATTTAAAACCATGTTCTTCTGTATCCTTTTCTTCCAGGTTGTTTATGCTTTGCTTCATCTGACTTTGACTGTAAGCTCTTCAGGAGGGAGCTCTGTCTTTCATTTTCTGTTCAAACCCTGTTGTGTAGCATAAATACATAATACTGTTGCATGTTGGAGCCTAGAGAGTTGCCTTAGTCCTGCATTTTCCTAACTCTTCAACTTGTAAGTACTTAATTATAGCCTGGTTTAGCTGTCCTTGTTGGCATCTGTGGAAAGGGGTCATAACCTCAAGTGGAGAATATAGCTCCAACCAGAGCTAATAAAGCAGGATCTTTTGAGAGAGTCACGCTATATATCCTGGTTACCAAATCCCCCCATTTCCCCTGACACACACACAAAACACAGCAGCAAATTGTATACAAAGAATGTATACAAACTATCCAGGAGACGCATTATATTTTTTTCTTGTGCTGTGTATTATAAGAGTGGGTCTCTGAGCTTGCAGAGTTGATGTGATGTTACACTGAATAATCAGTCTTGTGGGTTTGTGTCAGCTTTAGCTTCTGTGGTTTATTGTTTACAGCTTTTCTCTCATGCCTCAAACCATGTATTAGTGATTTAAGGGCAAACGTCAAAACTGAATAAGTCATGTTGTATGCAGGTGTTAGTATAATTTAAATCAGCACTAAGTAATTTTAAAAAGACAGGGTTATCTTTTTTAAAATAAGGCATCGAGGGAGTCCAAAAGTATCATAGATATAAGACAGAAATATCCACTGAGCAGCTGGAAAAGTCACCATAAAACATAGAACTAAATTTAGTCCTGACAAAGCAGTCATGACCCTCAAAGGCAGTTCAAAACTTTATTTCAAGGTAGACTTTGAAAGAAGGTCTGTCACTTGGCAAAACACTCTATGAGCTATTGAGTATTTTTGTTCTAAATTTTGTCTTAAAAATGCACATAGCCTCTACATCAGTTCTGGCAAGAAATATTCTGAATGTTTGAAAGGCTTTCTTTCACCTAAAGATAAATACGAGCTGGAGTTCACATCTGAGGCAAACATTCTCTCTCCACAGATGCCAACACCACTTATTTCCCCACTGCGTCAACCACTGTAACCCTAGTTCATGGCAAGTAATGCCCTCAGGCATGAGGAGAAAATGTAGGGTTTGTGATCTGGTTTTGTTTTATTCTGTTCAGAGGTTGCCAAAAATGAAACAAGGCAATAGAAATAATGCTGCCTTTTGTGATACGGAAGTTTAGCAGCTGTCTCATGTCCGAGGCTCACAGATAGTACACAGGTTGTCAGATGGTAGTGGCTTTCAGGCTGCATCAGACTGTGAACCAGCAGTCTCTCTTAGTGAGTGGATAACAGTGTCTTTCCTTTCTGTTTTATGAACAGGGCAGTCTCACTAAAGAATCTACTTAGATCAGGAGCAGGTAAAATACAGCCTGCAGGCCGAATCTGACCCACCAGGCACTTTGATCTGGCCAGAGGCACCCACCAACAAATTGTGACCTGCCCAGCCCTTCCACCCACAAGGATGGGAGCAATGCACCCTACGTATGCACACACACACACACGCACACACACACCCCAACATACCCTATTGCCCCTTGCTCCTACTCTTGTAGGCAGAAGGGCCTGGCCCAGCCAGCACACAACTTCCGGGCAGAGCTGCTACTGTGATTGCCACTGGGGGGCTTGGTCAGCTTCCCTGGCATCCTGGTGGCTCCAGGCAGCCAGTAGGGAAGTGGTGGGGGCAGGGGTGGTGAGGAGCTGCAGCTGGGTGGGAGCATGGAGCTGGCAGCAGCATGGATCTCATGCCCAAGGGGGCAGTGGCAGTGGCAGCATGGAGCTTGGGTGGGTAGAGTGTGCATGTGACGGAGGGTGGGGAGGTGTGGGCCCCCACCCCGGCTTACTCCATGGCGTGAAGCCCCCCTCAGGCTATGGCAGTAGCAGGCAGGGGTGCTTGGGGTGCTTATGCCTGGTGCAGGTGCTGGTGCCCAGTGGTGCCTGGTTCTGGCCAGCACTGCACATGGGGGTGAGGAGTGCAGCCTGGCAAAGCTGCTTCTATTGCCAGGGTTCTCCGCCATTCACATGCAGCCCCCAGCACTCGCACAGCACTCGAGGGAAGCTCTATGTGCTAGAGCTGACTACCTTCCCCACCCTGTGCTGCGCAGGTCCCGGACTCCAGAAGGAAAGGCCAGGGCTCCCCTCCACTTCTGGCAGAGTCCCTGGACCTGCATGGCAGGGGGCAGGGAAGGCAGCCGGCTCCAGTGCACAGAGCTTCTCTCCA